GGGGGGGGGGGGGTTTAAAAAAGCCTTGGGTTAGCTCATAAAGACATTTTAGTCTACCTGATCAGCACAACTGGGCATTTTGCATGAAGGCTTTTTCTTGCAGTACAGTGGGAAGGTGGCGGGGGGGGAAGGTCAATTGAAACCTAGATACGAATTTAAGTAATTATTTAAATAAAATCCTTGAACAGTCATAAACAAATCAAGAAATTGCTTGCTTTTACTACTGCTGTTGTTAAGTTGAATTTGCTAAGCAAATCGTGCTGGCACGCACAAACAATCCCCACTTCAACACCTCTTCTTATTCTGTCTTTCTGTCTTCTGCATTCATCTCCTTTTTGCTTTATCTTTCTTAGGTTGATTTTCTGGGTCTCCAGCTTTAGTAACCTGGATTCTGTCCTGTAAGTGTATGCTGTATTGAGCTACACAAACCACTTAGCTCCCCATTAGCTTCGTCTATGAACTCTGTCTGAAAGTGACTGCACGTGCCTGTAGATGTGCTAAAATTCACAATAAACACTAATATTTCACTATCATAATGTTATGTTACAAGACAGCAGGCCCAATCTGTTACATAAGTCACATGCACAAGGGAAAAAAAAGGGCATCTATTCTAACATTCCTCCTCTTCTGAGAGTGCCCAGAGGAAAATATTTTGATAGGAATGTGAAATCTCAGTCTTTGTTATACATACAGCATACACTCTCACAAGACATTTAGTTGGTGGCTTTAGGTTTTGTTCCATTATGTCAGTGCCTCTGTCCTCTGCACAGATACATCAGTAAACTAAGACGCACTCAGTAAACCCAGGTTGTGGGTGCAACCTGCCAGGACAGGCCCCCCTGCCATCCACCTCTGAGCTCCCATCCTGATGATGTCACCTCGTCCCTTCTGCCAGCACTATGGCCAATATAACCAAACAAAGAGCTAAATCAGGGAAGGGGGACTTCTGCACCAAAGGCAGAGAGAGGCTGAGGAGGAAGGCAGGATCACACCTTCTGATGGCATGCTAGACTCAGACCAAATTAAACCAAGCACAGAACTGCAGTCTCAGAACACTCAAAACAAAAGTAAGTTAAAACAGTCATCTCTTTTATCCCACAGTAAAAATATACTTCAGGAAATTTCTTTAGCATTCCATTCAACAAGAACATTCTACAAAGGAATAAATTCCAAATTATCTGGGATTCTAACCTTAAGGAAGAAGAATAAACAACTTTCTTACCCCATGATGTTAAGAATTCAGCAGCATACCGATAGACACGGTTCATGATTTCAATCACAACAGCATATATAATACTGGGCACAAACAGCATCAAGCTGCTGAAGTTAGACTCATTCTCTTCATGATAATCCAGAGCCCACTGTTCCAAGTCAAAGTAAATCATCATCACATACAGTGAGAAGTAGAGGCAAAGGCACACAAATGGTAAGGACACCAGATAAATCCGTATCTGTCTCTTAACACTAGAGTACACTGGTTCCTCCCTCCCAGTGACGGGATTGATACCCAGGACACCATGGAAGCCTGGTCTTGGTTCTTCAAACTGTCGTTTCATCAACAGTGTCCCCCAGCGGTATGTCATGATGGCACAAATCCGCTTCCAAACTTCCAGTATCACAGTGGACCAGAGCAGATTGAAAGTGGCAAACATCACGTATTTGTCATAGTCTTCCCATGCAAACATGTAATAAGGAATGCCAATGACAGCCATTGGAATCAAAGCAAATGTGAAGTACTCCAAGAAGCCGAAGTAGAGAGCAATGGTTTCGCCAAAGTAGCAGCGTATCTCATCTGCAGAGAAAAAAGAATCAATTAAGACTATAATTAACATAGATGTCAGTATAATATCAAACTTGACTTTACATAACCCCTAGTCCCAAATTTTTTTTCAAATAACACAACAAATATTATTGGTTTTTGTTCCTCCTTCTCCCATGTTTCAAAAACTCAGAAGGTTATTTGATTTTTTTTTTTTAATGTTATATATACACACACACATAAACATATATACATATAGTCAGATGGTTGGGAAGTCAAATATCTCAATACCTACCACATCAACACTATATATCCAGAGGGGGAAAAAAAACAAAAATAAATTTTAAAAAACCACAACAACAACAAAAAGACAAACAAAAGAAAACAATAGCATTCTTGAAAACAGAACCTATCAATGAACAGCTAGGATAACATGGAAGACATCTGGTATAATAAAAAACAAACTTTCACAGAATCACAGGATGGTGGGGGTTGGAAGGGACCTCAGGAGATCATCTAGTCCAACCCCCCTG